CCCCCCCCCCCCCCCCCTTCTTTCTCACCCAACACGCCTCCCGTACTTATTTTCTCGAATCAACGTTCTCCTGTCCCCTCGCCACTCCATCTTCTTTCTCCTCCCCACCCGCCCGTACGTACGTACGTGATATGCTTCTTGATGGACCATCGGACGTTCCGTTTTTTCAAGTGACGACGAGGACTGTTGCAGTGGTTCGGACGACGAATCGGCCCTGCTGCAGGAGCGCGCGCGGCTGGCCTCCCGGGGGACCGGCGGCTGCGTCTACTTCTCGCCCCCGGGGGGCGAGGACGGTGTTTTCCGGAGGCGGCGGAAAAGAAGCGGAGAGGAACGGGGCGCCGCGCGCACAAACTCGCGACGGCCGTTCTTCGAGACGATGACGGTGGCTGGGATAGTGCTAGAAGGCACCGCAGAGACTCAGGCCGCGGGGTCGGAAGAGGGTGATCATGCGAGGAACCCGGAGGTAACGGAGAGGGAGGTGGAATACGGACGTGCGGGGGGGGGGCGTACTCTTATGTTTTGCATGCCTTAGCGGTTAGACGATTGACCACGCGTCCTCGAGAGGACGGAGCATTGTTCCCACAGGACCGATCACCGATGGCCAATCGTTCCTTNTCCTGTACGTCCTATCTTTTTTTCCCAGCTCAGTCACGTACATTTCCCTCTCCTTCTTGTACAACGGACATTCCGCGACTACATGAACACGGTCTTCGCATTCGAAGCCGCAATCACATTTGAACTCGTCGTCTTCCTCGTCTACCGTCCTATGTCTTCGTCGACGTTCTCGAAGGCCTATGTCCCCGGTCCTGAATTTGACCTTAAGCTTTGTTCCTGCATCCATTGGTCCATGTAGGTAGTCCTTGAACCCTATTCCTTCCTTCAACATTCCGTACACTTCTGGAGCCTCCTTATCCGTGGATTCTTTCCTTAGATTCTGTTCTTCCCTCTCGGCACAAGCAACATATATCTTCTCCTTGAACCCCTTGAGACCCTCCGTTTCCAGCGTTTAAGCTTCGTCGATGTCGAACTCCTTCCATACGTCCTCTACAACCTTGACCCATTCCGTGGGTTGTGGGGGGGGCGTCTTCGGCAGGGGGGCGGTGATGCTGCTGCTGCTGCTGCTGCTGCAGCTGCTACTCGGCAGAGCCATGCGGTTGAGAAGGTCTTGGTGAATGCCGCCGGGGGCGAAGCGGAAGGAGGATCAAGCGAAGACGACGAGGGGGTGGCTAGTAGGGCAACAAAGCGACGGCGGCGGCAGGGGGCGTCGGCGGAGCAGGGGGCGTCGGGGGAGCAGGGGGCATCCGGCGGAGCCCCTGGTAGCAGCGGGAGAGGTAGAAACAGGTCCAACCGACGCGACCTCGAGAGCGAGGTAAGCGGCATACACATCACTCTCTCGTCGAAATGTTGCTGTTCTGATTCTGTACCTTGTGTTGTTGCCCCGCTTGCCTATTATTTCGTGCAGCTATCGTGACGCACCTTGGCGCAGTTTCTCAGCACGCACAGCAAGATGAAGCCACGACTTGGTACTCTTGTCCCTCCTACTGATGTATCACCGTGTCCGGCGTGACAACATCCCCATCGTAGTTGGCTCAAACAAGCCCTGTTTCCCTCTACTTGGTGCTTAGGCACAGGTCGTTGCCGCCGTGCATCCTCGTTTAAAAAAAAACGTGTGCAGCGTGTTTTTTGCATCAGGCCCCCCCTGCCTTTCTCCTTCTTCCCCCAGCAGATAGATCGTCCCCCCATCTGACTGCTCCCCCCGGTGTTTGCCATCGGGATTGGGTTTTCGTCGCTTGGCAA